AAAATGGATTCGATATGCTACATTTTTGTTCTTATAAACTTTGTATTGTAGTTTTTAAACTTAAGTATAGGGTGTCGACTCAATGATGAAAAATAATTTCCTGATAATCCCTGAATTTCAAGTAATTCTTCTCAAAAATTACTGACAGTGTTGAAAGGATATCTAAAAATAAAGTATGCTCTGTGTGTAGAGGTGTATGGTGTAGTGGTAAGTGTGATTGTCTCTTATTCCAAAGGGCCAGGGAAGCAAAGCCGTTGGTCCCCGGTCCATGAGTTGATGGGTCGATAGGAAGGATCCAGGTATGGGAGTTGCCTTCCTGGCATCGGTAGCATTGGTTCTCAGTACGGAACACACGATCGACGTAAAACAAATCAAGAATAAAAAAGTTATGCTTTCTGATTAAAGTTTAATACGCGAATCTACAGTGTTGCTACTATATGTACAGTACTGGAAAAGTATAACTGTATAGTTTGATCACTAAGTAACTTATAAAGCTTGTCCTTAATGGCACCATTTTTTATAGTTCATTATTCCTGTGGTTACTACCATTCTAAAAACATTATATCAATTATTATAATGGCGATAATGCCTTTAAAATAGTTGAATCCATAGGAAACAATTATTTCTTCTCTTAAATAAACCAATAAAAGGTACAATGGAGCAAAATCTTAGTAAAAATTTATTTGTTTCCAAGCAAATATTAAATCTTTAATTGAATATGTAAATCCACCATTATTCAAGCAAAAGCCCCATACCGTAGCTTCAGAAACTCCACCAGAACACCTACGCTATAGAAATCCATTAATATTTTCTAGATTTATAAGTTTTAAATACCAGCTGAAAGGTTTTGAAACCTTGCTGCACGGAGCATGTTGTTTGAAATGAACTTTATAATATGATATTTGGAATGGCGAATAAATATTACAACCAATGACAGATGCAATACCATCGATTCAAATATTTCTGGGTTATATATCCAAAAGCTACAGATTTTAAAGAAAATTGTATAACTTCAACTTCTAGATCTAATAAAGTTTTTCAATCTCGGAATCTTGGTGTGTTCGAAATGTATGAACATTTCAATGCTTACGAATATTGAAAATTTGTATAAATCTGAGATCTTCCCATTTTCTCAAGTCTTACAACTCAAATTTTTGTTTGGGTTTTGGAGCTGATCATTTTTCTATTCCCGGATTATTATTTACAAATCCTAGGTCAATCGATTTATTATGTTTGAAGCTTTTTTTTAAACCCCAGGATATAAAATGTTTTCTGAGTCTAGAACCTCTGGAATCATGATATTTTATCGAGCCCAGGATCATGAAAAATAGTCTTATTCAAGGTATTAAACATTTTGGATATTGAAAATATTTTGCAAGTTCGAAATTTTTTAAAACTGCTCCAAACTCGAGGTTTTGCTATATCTAAGATCTTTTTTAATATTTGAAAGGCTTTTGTTTTACTCTAGGCCTTGAATTTTTGTTATGATTAATCAAAGATTATAATTACCGGTAAACTACTTTGGTTTTTGTTTTACGTCTCGAACATGTAAATTAAAAAAATGTGTTGTGATGTTTAGCTATCTTTATTAGGGAGGTTTAAAATATTAAAATATGTAGGGTTTACATCTAATTTTGGGCCTACTAAGCCTAACCCGCCATTTCCCTCTATTTTTCGATGGATTTTTTTTTCAAAAAATGGATTGTTTTCTCTGCAGATGACTTCTAAATTTATTTACCTTTCCATAACTACCGTAAGATTTGATAAATAGAAACCAATTGTTGAGATATTGTTAAAAATCTAACACTGCTTCTTGACCCAAAACTCAGTCAGTCCTCAGACTAAATTAGGCCTAATGCATCGAAACGCCATTCAAACGCCTTTGAATTCACTTCGGCCTATCGAAAGAAGATAAAAATTGATTCGGTCGGAGCGCTGCTTTTGATTTGAGAAAAAATGGGTGTAAACATTCATATCACGCGTTCTCATTGACTTCTTTCGGTAACTTTTAAACTAAAGTGTCGTACCAAACGCATAATTGACTTGTTAACTCGGAAACAATGGATTTATTTGATGTTTTCTGCTCGATAGGCCCAACATGGGCGATTAGGCCAAAGTAGTGCTCTACCCTATAAGTCCGGAATTTTAAGAAACTCAAAAGATCCAGAAACTTGGTTTTTCAAGCCTTGGATTTAATAAAATAAGTCCGTAATCTTAAAAAATACCTTGGAAGCAATACAGCAATTATGTAACGCAAAAATTTACATTTTAATGCTTCCAGACACAACTCTGCTTACTCTTCCTAGGGGCAAAATTTGGATCCGCTACCTCATTTCTGTTTCATTTGCTCATTCAAAAACTATGTTTCGTATGTGCCAACCGATCAAAACATAGCTCAATGTACCATACGTCACCTAAATTCTATGGAGGTGTCAATCGTCGTATTTAACAAATTTTACAGAAGTGTAAAAACTTTACATACGACCTGTTGTTTTTTCCTATAAAAGTGCAAATTTTGCAAATCTTCAATGAAAAACGATTGTGGGTGGTCCATAAAATTTTAACTACACTTTCCATGAGATGTTACTAATTGCAATACTTTTTTAAGTCGCTAAAATGCGCACGATCGAATGTAACACCACGGCATGCAAAAGGTCGTATGATATTGAATGGTTTTAAAAACGTTTATTTTTAACAGGAATGCTATCAATACCTTACTCAGTTGATAGAAGCACTGCTGAGATGTAAGTAAATGGTAATTTTGAAAGAATTATCTATTTACACAGAAAGAAATTTTCTTCACCAAAACAAAACACCTCGTTTCTCTAATTGACAAAAATGTTACATACGACACAATCAAAAAGGACTGCCCCCTAAAATAACGTAGCACTAACTCAGTCAACCCTCTCTCCCCCCTTTGGTTTTTTTTTTTCATTGGTTATTCTGTTACGTAACATTTTCCATTACCTCCTCCGCAAAACTTATGCTAACCCCCCTCCCCCCCCCCACCTCCGTGCGGTACGTAATTTTTGCACGAAACCTAAGTACGAAACCTTCAAAAAAAAAATACGTTCCAGAACCTTGAAGAAATTGTCCATCATTAAAACATATTTCTAGTCTAAGAACCTTTTCCCTGGATTAAAATTGTTCAAGTCTAAGCCTTCTAAAACAATTCATTGTTTCACTTCCCACATGATTGGTGATTTCATTATAATGTTGAATGCAGTTATTAATCTAGGGGTTATTAGGATCGAGACATATTTTCCCTGTGTAATTCCCTGCCTTGACTGCATTGCTGAATTTAATTTATATTCAATTCTTTAATTCTAAACCAGTGCCCCATTTCAAGCAACAACAAAACGCATCGTAATCTTAGTTTAAAAGATGACCGCCACGACTCGCGAGTCCAACTTATCACTGTCGTCTGCCATAAAAAGAATTGCACGCTCTACATACCGAAAACTGATAACACTTTACATTGATGCTCTCCGCTGCATGCGTTCTATACTACGGCAGAGAATCACTGCAAATTGTCTTCGAGTGACAACGACCAAGAGAATAACAACAAGAAATGTTTCCCCAGAGGCCGAACGTTCAAATCCGATGAGCTCTCGTCCGCTTCTTTGAGCAATAAGAAACAGATCTCTGATGATGTGAGAGTGCATCTGAGCGATTCAAACGCTACAAAAGACCATGCGCCAACTTTGAGACCCGATTTGTTATGGTCTCGCCTTCACCACTCACACGTGCTTTCCTTTCGCTGTATGTACCTAGGCATCGTGTTCACAAAATTGCTCACACTTGATGCATGCCGGCCGAGCAATCCCTTCAACGAAACGCTTCTATGAATGAAATCAAATGTTCGTGTCTGCTTCGGCTCCAAATGCCGGTTCAGGTCAGCTGAGCAATGCCACTCACCTCTTCGTGTGTATGTTCGTTTAATAATTAACATTGAACAATTAGTAACCGGCTTTCATATGGCAGATTATACAGAGATCCTCAGCATATTTTAAAACTATTTCATTTTAACTACAAAATTAATCAACCACCAAATAGTGGCAGAAAACTGTTGGAACTATAAACCATCTTATTCTCAGATATGACGTAACTATCACCGCAAGGAAATAAAAACAAAATCTGTGGAACAAACAAAACCTTGTTCAATTATGCATTATTTTCACAAAGCTATTTGCGAACGCAATCCATCAAATGTATGTTTTTTATTCAAATCGCCTAATAAGACATGATTTCAAACCAATAAGTCGCACAACATTTCGCGGCACGATGTGAGTTCCAGTCGGTCGGTGATACATACGCGGCATCGCTTCACTCAAAACTGACGATCATGTCCGTGGCGGCAACAAAAAATGAAACATTACACTTTGGATTGCTTCCAGTAGCGTTGGCCAGTTCAGTTAGCCGTGGGATGCGGATTCGACGAGACGTGAAAATCGTGACTTGCTTTGGACGTCTGTGGTGAATCTGAGTGGAATTTTGTGCAAGTTGTTAGTGAATAAGAAACATCAAGACTACTGAACTGGAACATAACCTTTGGGATAATCAACTTTCAGAACAGCGCTTAAGTCCGCTGATAACGTACACGCATGTGCCGATTTCAAAAAGTTCTATCAGTACTGTTGTAAGCCAAACAGTGAAGAATAAATTTTCAAGTGCATTAGAGTTAGAAGTTGGACAGTCAGAGTGCATTTAAATGCTCTGTGTGATCGAAAAAAGTTCTCAATAACCACGTTGTAAAATTTTAAATTTCTCTGCTCATTCCGAGCAACCAGCGCTGGATTCGATTATACACATATTTCTATTCAAATCCTGACTTCAGCTCTTTTTCCTTTACTCGTGGTGTTTTTTTTTCGATGACTGTGAAGTGGAATTTATAATTAAGTGCAGTAGTTGCAGTAAAATTTTATGCGAATATCAAACCGTCTGCTTAATGGAGAAGCACCTTATGCTACGAGTCTGTTTTTTTTTTGGTGTTCTTTTAGATTCAGGAGATCTATTCACGCCACGTGGAAGTGTGAAATTTTACCCCCGAAGGAACGATAGTCAAAGAAGAAATAGCATCAAAGTCGATGAAATATTAACGTTTGTGTGTTCACCGCATCAGTTAGTGGGTCAAATGAAAATGCTGATTCGCTGGAGATTTGAATTCGTGGATAGCAGATGAAGATGTTTCGTGAGATGTTTTTAAATACAAAATCGAATTTTCTTTTTGAGGTCTCTAATTGCGACCGGTTACACCATTTGTACCGTGCATAAACATGTAAAACCGATATTTTTTATCAATGTTATTTAAATGCCTGACCACGTCTAAAACCATATAAGGTAGAATACAAAACAAAAAACAATGCTGGTAGAATGTTTGGAACTAATAGCAATGAACAAATGATAACAAGAAGATAATTGCAAAGTGAAGCTATAGTCCCATTCGTGGTTTTCTCTATTATATACGATACACGAAATGTCAGTTGTTACAAATTATTTCCCGACAAAGACTTGGTTAGCTTTGCTCTTCTTACTCATGGGGATTTTGAATGCTTGATTTTCCCTAATAATTGACCTAAACGCAATTGTATTATAGTATACTAGATGGGACCCATCGAATCCAAAACAAAACGTTTGGTAATGATGAAAATACGTACTATACTGCCCATAATCACATATCAGTCCCATATGGATAGGAAATCAATCAAAGATGGGACTGATATGCGATTATGGGTAGTATAGGCCTGTTTAAAGCGAAGCATACCTTATAAAAATCATCTGGGTCGTTTTGATATTTCTTAAAATAATGAAAGGTATCCAAAGCCTAGGAAAATCAGTGTTTCCTTAGATTCACATGTAAAAATATCCTTAGATTTACATATAAAAAGAGAAGATTCTTTCCAATTTCCGTTCAGCAGAAAAAGCATACGAAATAGCGTATCAGCGCTTCTTATTCGCTTTTAGACTATCCACATTCCGAAACATGGGGAGATCCGTGCATAAAGCACAGGTCTGATAATCGCAACGTTCTCGATGCTTGTCCAGTCAGCGAGCGTTTTTTTTTTCGTTAATATTATTTGATTGAGGATATCAGAATATCCACTGAATTTTCCTCACAATTCCCTTAGATTTCCCCAGGAATTCTTGAAATTAAATTATCATGCAATTCTATAGTCAGATATTCCTTAAAATTCTCTCCCTCCTTCTTCCATGCCAGGAATTTATAAAAATTTTCGAGGTCTGAAATCATGAAATACGAAACCTTGAAAAAAAATTTCCAAGTCTCAGTATCTAGAAACTTCCTTGAATTTTTCATGTCCGTTTAGCTTCCAGTTAATGAGTCGTTTAGATTTCACAGAAATCAAAGAAATTAGTTTGAATCATTCGAAATTAAGCATTTGTTTTCAGCAAGTATGGTATACAAGATATGAACTAGGTGACTTCAATAAAGTTTCTTGCAACAGTATTTTCCAACTTTTGTGATGACATCAAATATGTTTGTTGAAAAACTGTAAACAAAATCTATGTCATTTATAGGTGGGTGAATTATCAAGATGAAAACTTCAAAAGATACACATTAGCTACAGATAAACTTCTCCAAAGACATAACACCAATAAAAACATTATAGAGTTGCACGAAAATTAAATTTTCAACCACTGTGTACTGGAAAAAAACGATAAGAATGACATAAAAAACATTGATTTTAAAAAAAAATAAAAACCAGAAACGAATTTTAAAGAAATTGGACAAAGATCAATGTTTAATATTCCTTGATTTAAGAAATTTTCAATAATTCTAAGGCTTGATTTTTCTAATCTGAGACTAAGAATCCCAAACTAGAATAAATATTCAAGATTCTGGACTGAGGATGTAAGATTTTAAAACAAATATCAAGATTACGGAATTATCTGAATGAGGCTGAAAAGTTTCCAGACTCCTAGATTAAAAGTATATCATGATTATAGCACATGGTAGCATTACGAAGCCTCTTGTTTTTATTTGTATAAACTTTGATTATACATGTTTGTTTAAATTTGGATATATGTACATTAAAATGTAGTGGGGAACAAACACCACTATATTCGAAAATATTTTACAATTTTAATAAAAAGTATACACAATCTTAACACATATGAAAATTATAACCGATTGATAATCTAATTAACGTTATGTAATAAAAATCCGATGAAAACTGACGAAATGGTAGGCACGTAAGTGATAATAGGTGATTCTATCGAAATAATTCCAAGAGGAATTTGAGGCGAATTCAAAAAATTTTCTGGCTATATGCTCATGGAAGTTTAGAAGTGAATTCAAAGGGAACTGTAAGGTGAACTTCAATTGGAATCTATGGTTTGCTATAAAAGTATATCTAAGCAGAACCCGACGTAGAATTTCTAGATAATTCTTAGAACCTCCAGGTCTCCAGGTGAATTAAAAAAAAAGTACCGATGAGAATTCGAATGGAGATCCGAAAAGATGTCCAAAGAGGTTCTGAATAGAATTTCAATGTTATTCTGATTCAAAGTATAGTTAAAGTATAATTTTCAAAGGAAAATTCTTATGTAATTAAGAGCAGAATTGTAAGAGTGATCAGAACAGAATTCAACGGAATTTCTACGAAATTCTGAATATATGTACTTTTATGGAAATACCGATGATCAGAATTCAAAGGTAATCCAAAGCATAATTCTTTATGAATTTCAGGGGAATTCTTAGAGAATGCTAATGAAAACTTCAAGGGATTTATAGGTGGAAAATTTTCAAGTGAATTTTAAGGAGAACTTCATGAAAGTTCTGGGAAGAACTTCAAGAGAGTTAATTCCAAAGTAATTAAGAGGAAATTTCTAAGCGTATATGGATAAAAACTACAAGCCAATTCTTAAAACAAAAATCATAGTATGAATGAATAGAATTCTATAGACATTCTAAACTGAGAGATTTTCAAAGCAATTGCGAAGAACTCATACTTCCAATATAGCTCTGCGTAATAGTACATGGAATTTCTCAGCCGAATGAGAAAATGTTTTGAAAGGTAATTAATTGAACACAAAAACAAATTCTGAGAAGAACTAGAAAGTAACTGCTTGAGAACGATCTCGATAAAATAAAGTGAATGTGGAGAGAATTCGTGAAGAGTAATAAAGACAATTTTCAGACAAACAAATATTGTAAACCTGAGACGCACACTTAAACAACTTTGAAATCTTGTAATATCCTGGATGTGAGGAATTTTTCTAAGATTAAAAATAAGAAAGAAGATTTAAAGAAGTTTCGCGGTGCCAGTTTTTTTTAACTTGAACTCAAACAAATTTTTAAAAGTTTGAAACATTGAAAATTTATAAGATCTGAGACTTAAAACAATTTTGGATACTTCGAACCAAATGAAAATGTTAAATCCCTTACATGATTTTTTCTTTCTTTTTTTTTCATGCATTCTAGTACTAGGAAATGATTTTTTTTATAGAAACCCAGCAAACATTTTAAGTTGGGGAAAACATTTATTAGGAAAAAACGCTTTATGCATCTAGAAACAAGCTTATTCAGATTTTAACGAGGCCTTGATTTTTTTTTTGCGAAATTTAGCCTCCATTGCTACCAGTTCATTCGAGATTTAACTCCTCTTCATTTCGAAACCTTGCTACGCCAATTTATGATCTTGAAATAAATTGGTTGTTTCTTAAAGATGATACAATCAGTTTTCTTTGATTCAACACTATTTATATGAAAAAATCATCATCGTAATATAAAAAAATTGCAATAAAAAATGCAGTTTCATTATCGAAAACCGATATTCAGCTGACTGTGGTTCCAAAAAGTGGTGGTTTTCTCTAAGCACTCAGCACTCAACTGTTTAGGTGATTTATCTGATTTCGATTGTTCCAATTAGCTCTACTGTCATTATAAGCATAGCTGTCCTATAATCAATGCAATTCTAATGGGCCGTTTCATTTATGCGTACAACGTCAGTCTAGATGTGCCAAACAACGTCAAAAAATATTAAAACTTGTTTTCATGTCAACGATGTCCGTCCAGCGTTTGTTTTTCGGGCATAATTCTAGCCCAGCGCGAAACTTTATTTCTTTTCTTTTTTTGAGGCTGTATTCCTCCATCCGAGATGAAAGGACTATATTTCCTAACGACGCTGTACGCCATTAGCGAAGCTATCAAACATGAGCGAAAACCCAGCGAGGGAAAACGAGGACTGCATTCCAACCTTCAGCTTATTTCTTAATCAAACTATGTCACTCTTTACATACTTTGCACCTTACATGCATTTTTTTCAAGTTTGCCGAGCAAACAAAATAATTTCAACAACGCAGCTCCCCTTGATGAGCATCATATTCTAATAACCGTTGGAAATATATTCTTTCAAATTGCAATACATTTTCGAGTAAAGCCAAACGGAGTCGGAAAAGTTTTAAATGAAATTTAAGCAATTTTCCAACAGGAATTAAAATTCAACTTCACAACAAGGTGAAACGGGTGAGAATGAAGGAAAGATACTTTGTGGAGGAAATTTTGCCTAATGAACACTATGTTCCACTGTATCTTACCGGGTTGAACTTGTTGCTGCGCAAACAGCATTATTAAATGTAAGCTGATATTGACGAGCTCCTCTGTTAGTACAAAATTAACCCGATACTGAAAAAGTTTTTTTTTTTCGCCAACTCCTACTATATCTCACAGGCAATTCCAGCTGGCTGTTGTGATGATGCTACACCCATGCACATCCGGAAGCACACTGCACTCATATGCTATATTTGCGAACCGATGCATGTGGCAGCAGAAATGTGTTTCGTGATTATTCATTCAACACACTTACTGGCCAATAATTTAGATACCGGGTAGATAAACGAATCCTAGCTTAACACGAAAAAACCATTAAAGGTCCTGAATAACTACAACACTATCACTTTCGCCCGGATAATCGAGGAATAGGTATGTGAATGAGTATGCCTGAAAGGAATAGCGTTTCCATAATTTCGGTCGCTTTCATAGTATCTATAGAATGCAATTGCAGTAACATCATTTAAGAAAAAGCAACATATGATTTGATTTATTCTATAATAAGGTACTACACTCAATTATGTTTTCACTCGATTTTTTTTTTGCCTCTATTTTTGATCCTGTGTTCTCAATTTACAAACAAATTGTTGCAACATTTTTCAAACAATGATAAGACAGTATTCCTACTTCAAATACGTGTCTCATCCAAGATGAAAGGACCTTTTTTCGCTCATACGTAGGACAGTGTAGCCTCATAATAAGAACGGTACTTAAAAATGTGACTTATGAGGACAAAAGTATATTTTAAAAGCCATAAGAAAGACAAATATTGTAAAATTATTGAGTCCTTGAAAGTCGTGTTGCAGTATAATGGATGTACATGTTCAAATATTATTTTCAAAACTATTCTTCAGAAAAATATTGTAAAAATCGATATACACACTAAACGTTCGGTAACTGAAAGGGAATTTTTGATTTTTATAAAAAAATCACTCATTTCTTCTACTCTTCATTGACAACTTAACACATAAGTTGCTGGCTGATCAATTTTTGACAGTGATTAACATTTGTCTACGATAAGCTGGTATTCAAAAAGTCCCTTTCAGATAGCAAACGTTTAGTGTATTTATCGATTTTCTAAAGTAAGCTTGATCAAAGAGTAAAGATATGTTGGAGAAAAAAAATATATATCAGCCTGTGTTCAAATCCAAAGCGTTGAACATAATTCTTGCATCCTACATGCTGATTAGACACCGCATGCAAACATTTAACCTAGACCGCTTTTTACGGAAGACGAAGCTCGCATGGGACCTTCAATTTTTTCACAATATTTACTCCAACCATTAGCTCCTGTTCACCAAGAGCGAACTTCATTACTATCGCGCTTCTTTTCTTGCCAAAGTGACTGATAATCGCGAAAGGTTATCGCATTATAGTACAGTACAGTGGTTTCACTTGCCTTGGATTTTTTTTTGTCCTTCTTAGACGCTTGATGCACGCTTCCATAGTCCGCACTTTTGTTGAGGTATTTTGTTGTTGCTGAAATGTAAGGTGCGCTAAAGTAACAAGAAGCAATAATTAAATTTGGTTAAGAGGCTTTGAAAGCTTTCGCACTGGAGTGTTAGTAGAGGCGTTTTTCGAAAAATCTTCTGGGATGATTTTATAATGCCTTCCAATGGTAAAACTACATTAGGATTGCTGACAAGTAGGATGGTAGAACCTTTTTTCGGTTATGCAAGTGCTTGGATCTTATTCAGATATATAATTCTGAAGATGATTAACTATCTAAAAAAATTAATAATATTGATTCAGTAGATATATTTACATATGAAATCCAAATTCCTTTTTAGTCTTTATTTTAATATGCAGATTTAAACATTTTTGCCAGCGTTTTGCCGGTTCTCAACTTAGCATTCGTGAAGCACTTCCACCGTTATTTTTTGAGAACTTTATATGCCAACCAATGCATGCATTTCTAAGTATATTGTGTGGCAAGCACTCTTTCATCAATATATCTAGACAGAACCACTCATGTTTCAAAGAAGAAAAAATATCATATGAAAAATCTTCAACTAGACATATCGTCAGATGAAAACATTTGAACTCTAATGAACTGTTCAGGTTTGAAAGAAGGAAAAATCAAATATAAAAAATCGTAGACTAACTTCAGGTGAAATTAATTCAATATACCTGGTCTCGAAATTGTTTTGAAGTCTTAGTTATCAATACCAGAATGCCTCAGAACATCCCGGCGGTGCCGACTGGGATTGAACCCAGGCCTGCTGGAGTGAAAGGTAATCACGCTTACCACTACACCACCGGCACCGCCCAGTGAACTATTTATTTCATTAAAATTGTGAAACTTGTGATACTATTATTGAAAAAATATTTACTTTATAAGCTGAATTGAGGGGGAAACCAAAATTACATCCTGTAGCCCAATAAAGCTGTTTTCAAAGTATGAAAGCTTCGATATATTTTTCAATCGATCCTGCAAACCTGCTGCGAACAAGCTCGCTTCTCGGCAACTGAAGGTCATTAGACGGAATTCTAGTAAATTATTTCTCAACACTTTCGAAGAACATCAATCTGATCATCTGATTTGAAAAAGAGAATAAACTGCAACTATTAGAACGATACATTTTCAATGATTTATCCTACTTTAAAACACAAGCAGTTTTTTTTTAATTTTTCATTCTTTTATCATACTAATCTATGTGATATAATGACTTGAGTCGGAATAATTATCGGTGCTTTGAGTTTAAAGCTAGCTTTATGTATCATACATAAAGCTAGCTTTAAACTCAAAGCACCGATAATTATTCCGACTCAAGTCATTATATCACATAGATTAGTATGATAAAAGAATGAAAAATTTAAAAAAAAAACTGCTTGTGTTTTAAAGTAGGATAAATCATTGAAAATTTTACATTTTGGTTACTCTCCAAATGTCCAAACCCAAATCTTTTAAAAATTCAATGAATACGGGAAATGCATCTATTTTGGTCATGCTCCCGTTTTGGCCATGTATTGGCATAATTTAAGGTTGTTTTCATTTTATAGCTTTCAATTTGTGTTAGGATTGTTGATTCGAATCATATGCATCGAGATACACATAAACATTATCCCCAAAACGCAAGAAGATTGTGATTCAAACAATTTTTTTACATATGGCATAGTCAGAAAACATAAAATCAGACAAAACTGGTACACTTACCTTATATACAATTTCTTCAATACAAAAAAATCCAAGTCACATAGATTGGTGTGGAAAAAGAACTAGGTACCAGCTTTCGAGAGAATGGAAATTAATGTGATGGCATATGTTATAAATGATGCCAAAAAATCATCAAATGAACTGCTCATGTTTGAAAGAAGGAAAAATACTTAAAAACATTGCATTGTAATTGCTTTCCAATTTTCATGGGATTTCTCTATTCCGTAAATATCAAAAACTGCAGTCCAAGATCTCTCAAAAAGTTTTCCAAGTACGAATAGTCTGAAAAAAATATCTAAGTGTTGAAAATCTTAAAACCATAAGGAATTTTGTCAAAATGTATTTAAGTTTGGGTGAACAGAAAAAAATGGGTCTGATGACCATCATCCGGATGCCTCCTAAAATAACTTGTTAAAGAACGTGAAATCCGATATAATTCAAAACAAGCGAACCAAACCGCAACGTGCAGGCAATCTATAAACCGGGTTTTTTTTTTATAGAAACGGTCAGTACTGGTACCATTAAAATTACACAGGTGCAAAATATTCTAAATGGTTTTTTAGCGCTAAATTCAAAAGGTACCTAGTGACACCGTGTAGTTTTCCGACCCGGTGTGAGCTACCTTACCAATCAGTTCTGAAAGAGTTCTGAATTTTCAACGCGATGCTACGCGAAATCTCTTTAACGTCTTACACTTCGGCTTACCCAAATGAGACACATTCTTGGCGCTGAAGACAACGACAGCAAAGCTTCACTACGGTTTTGTCACAGAGTCGCCCACGCGTAGCAAAAGGGGGTGGCCGGTGCTGGAAAAAGGGAATAATGTAATGATATTAAAAAGTTAATGGTTTTATATGATATTAATTGACTAAGAATGCTCGTTTAAGAAAAAAGCTGAATAATGAGGAAAAATGTGAGAATAAGCTGCGATGGGCTGTGAGAGCGGTGGCCTTACCGGAGACGATGTCGCCGGTCGGCATTTTATACTTCTTGCGATGCCGCGAGAGTCAATAATTTATTTGTTTTGTCCGCTTGGACACTAGATTAATCTATGCAGAAATCACTCTTTCTTTCCGCTGGATGCGGAAATCGACTGTGAACTACTCGTCGAGAACAAAGCCTTCTATTAATCTAAGCGAAGAGAACAAACGGCGTATGGTAAAGTTCCTTTTGTCGGACCGCCTCATTTCATGCTGAAAACTATCTCTCGATATCGCAATTTCAAAGCATACCGATGCGGAGCTACATGTAATGTCTGCCTAACTATGACTACGCATATTGCTGCTATTAGAATAGAGTGAATTGTGCGATTCTTTTCCTTTGATGCACAAAATTACATCGAATACAACGCTTTCTACAGCTACCCATCGAAACAACCGTCATCAGTGGAAGATGCGTTAATGAATAAGTGAACGGTCACTGACAGACTGCCACTACTGATGTGCTTCATTCTACCAGCATTGGAATTGATTGAAATAGATTAGAAATTATGCGACTACTGTGGAAGGGTTATGGCAGTTGTCATCTGTTTCAATTCAAGTTAGATAGTAAAAATCCCGCGATCTTTGTGCATATACTAAAAGTAATTTGCAGCGTGATTCAACAAGCAGAGAATTAGAAATTCGTATTTTAAGAATCAGTGCTCGTGCAGTGATACTTCGAAAAAAGTGCGGACGTGTTGAAATAGTTTTGCTTGCAACAACGAACGAATATGATGAGAATAAATCCAACGAGTCTCATCTTACCTCCAATCCAAAAAAAACAGTGGCTTAAAAGGCCATTTAAATAACTATTAATATTAATTAGTCGTAACACAATGCACCCTATTATAAGCACAGCATCTCTCTCACTCCACAACTGTTCCTGTCATAACTCATTTAATATGGTGATTATGAACCATGGCCATGACACGTGTGTGAGCGAAAGTGAATCCCGGATAGTGTAGAAGCAAGAAGCTAAACGAAAGTGACGAAGAGGATGTTTGATACCATACCTGATGCCGCTGTTCTTCTGAAATTTGGTGTTTTGAAATTTACAGATTCCTGCCGATTGAATAAGTCATCGCTGAAAACAAAAGAATAGGATTTCCTTTTTCCGAAAAATAGAAACAAGTTTTTGATAAAAGTGCCGTCTAAAAAGTAAAAAGAGTGACCAGTGAAAATAAAAGACAGCCACCGGAAGCAGGCCTGACCTATTTGAAATGGGTCCGCCTAGGCTTTGGAAACTGCTGATTTGTCTACTTGTACTGCAAACCATCTACGCTCAAGGTAATTATTATTTTTTTCAATCAGAGATCAATCATTCGGGATAAATTCAGCATTGAAATAACGAACAAAAATCTCAAAAGCATCCACTACAAATTACAAACTCATGCCTCAGTGTAACATTTGTGTTTTAAATGGGTTGAAATCAATTTATTTTCTCTAATCCAGCACGACACCTCGACACGTTTACTCGTTACAATGCTACCTGATGTCATTTTTACGCGCAGCTGTTTCCCACCCTCGACCGGTGCATCTACCTACCTACCTGCCTACCGTGCATTGCTCTTGTAATTTGTTTGCCGGTCGCAAAAATCCGCGAGATTTGTGCAGCTCGTTTTGCACTGAGCGAATGTAACGCAAGTCTCTGCTGAATGTTTCAAAGCTAGCGAAAAGAAAAACAACATACCTACAGTAAAGGTACCTGCTATATGTAGAATCCTGTTTGATACCTCGATGCCACTGACTAAATTGATTGGCTGGTACTTTTGGGGAAATGGCTTATTTCAATGAGTTGCATAGGATGACACTAGGGTTGAGAAAAAAAATCCGCTGTTCTGAAACGTGTTTCACGGTGTTTGGTTGCGATTGACCAGACGAGCAAAAAGTGTAGTTTTGTGCACGGATTTGTTTCCTATTACACGAACAATAACAAACTCAGTGCCTATGCATATTTAACACACACAAAATGCATATCAGTTCTGTTTGCATGCAAGCAAATCAAGTAAATGAACTTCCGACACGGGAAGGATTAAAGAAGACAACACAATTCAATGCCGTCAATAATGGACTATAAATGTGAGCATTGATTTCAGAAGCAATTTGACAATTATATTTTAAAGCAGCGTGACATCATTATTTGCAACAACAATAGAATAAGCTCTGTGGGATTTTCATGCCGTTGGCTAAAAAAAAAAGTTAGTTTGTGTTAAAGTTTTAAAAGGCATTGTTTCAAAAGGACGAAGTGAATACCGCCCTTCGAAACGTTTGCTCACACCGTATAGAATTCATACTGGGAATTCATGAAAAATTACGTTTGACGGTTGCCAAGCAGGCTTGCTGATTATTCTGTATTTAACTCATTTTCTTGATCAGTTCTTGTCCAAGAATATGTATGTACAGATGCACAGTTTTTTTTTAGCTAAAATATAGATTATACAAATTTTCCGAGAACCAACATTATTTTCCGAAGTGTATCACGATTTATGTTTTCTTTGGCCATTAATTTTATTGCCTAGTTTTTGTGCCTAAATGAAAAAAATATATATTATTCTCCTGATTAATCTCATGTTCTTCCGCTAAATTCATCGTTCACCAGGTTAAATTTATTCAATGATTGTCTTGCTATTTATCAAAGTATATCTAACTATTTATCAAAATAATGCCAGTGATTGCACTGCACCAAATTTTCTAGCAATAAGACAAAATATTCAATCTTGATTCAGTGTACTGATATTACTCTTATCCTAGCTGAAAAGAATATTGATAAAATTAAACAGATATCTGTATTTATAAGGAAGATAAGGGTCAATGAATCGTGCGCTTAAGAGAAACAATACCCGCAACTGAAACAAAAGATTTTTTTAAATATCTTTTGAACGTCCGTTAATTCACTTAAATGACAACTAAAGCTGTCAAATTGCAAAAACAAGACATGGCTGAAATGGACTGATAGGTCTGCACGAAAAAAATATTTGATTTTTTAGAAACTGAGTCTTCCCAGAAATTCAGGGACATTCTTAGAAGTAAAGGGTCAGAGAACTGTTTAAAAGAAGTGAAACGTTGTAGGATCTCAGGGCACTTAATAGATTTTCAAGAAACATCGAGCAACTTTCGAAAACTTCGTTTACATTCATTGAGTTGATGATCTGGAAACTAGACTGCAACAAATTTTATAAAAGTTAAGCTGACTTTGTAAAATCTCAGCAAACTTTGTAGATGCTCACTGAAACCTCATAAAACTTCAGTAAATTCTGTAGAACTTCAGCAAGTTTTGTAGAAATTTAGAGAACTTTGTAGAACTTCATCATACATTGTTGAACTTAAAAGAAATTTGTAGAATATTCAGGGATTTTTTCATTTGGGCTTTGTAGATGTTTAGGGGACCTCTTGACAATTAAAAAAAATATTATGAACTCGGGGAACTTTGTAGAGTTTCACAGAATTTCGAAAAAAAATCGCGTGCTTTGTTAAAATTCGGGAACATTTCGTATTATTGGGAACCTTACGCAAGTTTGGGAAACTTCGTTGAAGTTAATGAATTTTGTTTAATTTTAAGAATTTAAGTGCTTCTTTTAGTTTCAGGGCACGTCGTTAAAATTTAATGGACTTAAAATAGAGGAAATTGCGTAGAAATTCAGGAAACTTTATAGAACTTCAGGGAACTTCGCCAAAAATTAATAAAATTCTAAAATGTTCAGGCAACCTTGTAGAAGTGCAGTGAAAGTCATAGGAGTTCTGGAAACTTTTTAAAAGTCAAGCGAATAACGTAGCTATTCGAGGAACTTCGTTATACTTCAAACAAGTGCTGGGAACTTTTTATATTGTAAACGATCAGCGCACTTCTAAGAACTTCAGGGTTTGATTTGGGAACATACTTGAAATGTTTGGAACTTAGGAATACAAACAGTTATGGAACCTGGAAGCAGTTGATGCAACTTCTTAGAAGTTGAGATTTGCATTAAGAAGTAATGCCGCGGATACACTTTTATGATAAACTATGAGTATGAGCATTATTTGTATAATATATTATCAGCACATCCATGGTCACACTTGTATAGTTTTAGGATGTGCTCATAATTATTATACAAATAATGCTTACGTTCACAGTTTGTCATACAAATGTATCCGTGGCATACAGATAAGCGAGGTTTGTTGATGCCCATGGAGCCATTGTTCCGTTCCTCTGTGGAATTTTTGGTGGCAACTGCTGAGTAAGGTGCTGACACCTGCAGTGAAATCACAAAAATTGGAAAGTTCTGGCTCAAGTTGGAGCTGTAATCCACAGGTGTTTTTGCAGAGCTGTCGAGAGTCTGGACGTCATCTCCAGTGGTCCAGTGACGAAGGTGAAAGGAATGAAGCATCTTTCTTCTTCATTCCTTTCAGACTCAAGCAACAATTCTGGTTTTATTATGATCTTCAAGTCTATTATAAGCCATTAACATCTTCAAAACCATGATAACCATGAAAATATTACTTGGGAATGGTAAGCTGGTAGACACAAGCAATGTGAAGGGTACGAGAAATGGGAAGGCGCCAGACTCAGTTAAGTTATACGGAGTTAGGGTTGTACTTAGAACCTTCAGTCAACCATATCCATGACTATGTGGTACCTACTACCCACTTTATGTTTGGATAACGATGAAGTTAACGCTGTAAAGCTGACGTTGAATTAATGCTGCGTAAACATTGCATCAATTGTATCTTCTTTTGATAAAAAAAAACCAAAGAAGAAAATTTCATTCTCTCTTTCTCTCTCTCTCTTTAGAACACGTGTTGTTATTTCCACATATATTAATTTCGAGGTAATGCTGTTCGGGCTATTGACATTCGGCAAAGTTACATTCGGGGTAATGTCATAGAGTCATTCTACATCAGTAATTCCATAACAACACGATACATTTTGGAAAAAAATTGATTTTTGGACCACCCTAACATGGAAATGGATACCCTAAGTACAAAACTACAATTTTTTTGGAATTCTGAGAACCACTATATCGTTTTGCTATGGAATGGCTGTATAGTAAGTATCTCGGGAATGATTTTTAATAAAAATGTATGTTTAGCATTTCTTCTGTAAAAAATAGCTGTATCCCAGGAAATTCCATACCGCACCGAATCATTCGAATTCGAATTCGAATCATTGCACTTCATTCCGGATGTCAAAGTTTAATTTCCTAACAAAATGAGCTTGCACAAAAAGATACTGCCTATGCGCTACTCGGAACGTCATTAACTGAGACAAAAAAAAAACATCCATTATTCATTCGTCTTTAAAACTCTTTACCCACTCAAATAATTCGATCTTACAAGCTATATATGTGCGAGCAATGGTTTCAATCTGCAGCGAATATATCGTACACGACGAAACATGATATTATTTTCAAACATACTGAATAATGAAGGATTTCCATCGAGTGTTTAGATGAGTTTCGATACACTTCCGCAGATTGCACGCCCAACGTGAGAGCCGTGAGCGGGGTTGCTATGCCGTGCAGGAAGGACAATTAATTAGTCAAATTTGGACTCCGTTGCTTACAACTTCTAATTGCTGGGCTGAAATTCAATACGGGTTCGGTTGTTTTTCAATCCTTTTCCTTATTTTTATAATCGAGAATCGAAGGATTGTTGTTTTATTCTCTACTTGTAGCCTAGGGTGGAAAACTTTTGATCAATAAGTTCCAGTTGCAGAAGGTATACTTTCTTTGGAAAAAAAACGTCAAAGAAAAAAGAAAAAAACTAAACAACTGACATTTCAACTAACATGCACGTGAAGAACGGCTAACCATAATTAAGATGAATGTGTCTGGAAATCAGATCACAGATAAAGTTATTGAAGCGATATTGTGACCAGAATGGGTCCAATATATGAGGTGGTTAAAACGATGGCAACAGAAAGTCAGAATGAAGATGACAACTAGTGAATTCATCATTCTGGTGAAAATTGATTTATTACTCAACCGTGTGGAGATGGATAACGTAAAATATTACGTGGACCGAAAGGTGTGGCGATGGCAATTTGCGTCGTTGACAAGCATCCGTGTGAAAAAATGCAGTTTCATCATTTTATTTTGACTTAGGGAAGCTGCAACGACTCTGAACCGTAGCAGATTACATAAATAGTGCATCTTGAATATATAGGGGAATAATTTGACGCTGAGATTCATTCTGACAAATCCACGTTTAGTAATGATGCGCACACGTTCTGTGTTGTAGAGATAACGAAGAAAATCGGAAGCAAGAAATTTAGAACACTTGTTGGGTGGGAAAGTTATGAGCTTCTTACT